ACACCATCTAATCATAATAGTAAAATACACCTCTTTCTCACTGGCCCTTGGCAAGCACACAAGCTTGGCAAATGCTTTAAAAATGGTGAGTTTGGCCAGGGGGACGATGACACACCTTCAAGATGGGGCAAAGGGTGTTTTTTTAAGGGGATCACTGCAAGCAACTAGGGACAATATTGTAAATTTTGCCACCATTTTCCACAGGTGGGGGTCATTGAAGCTAATATCTTACTCCTGAGGGTAAGCCAGGATGCAAGGGTGCATCTCCTGCACGTATGTGGCTTCAGATCAGGTCCCTATGCTGCTCACCTGTGTGCTGCTTTGGTCCCTGCACAAGTGATTGCCAATTGGTGTGGGAAAGGTTCTTACAACAAAGCTGCTCTGCCAAGGAACCTTTGGCAGAAGATTGGTGAGTATCTCCAGGAAAGTTTCCTAGAGCTCTCTCTGGAGGATTCATGTGATATCTTGGTGTACATTAACACACTGTTCCACCCCACTGAATAGCTGCACAGGGGAAAGTGAAGTAGATGCAAACACAGCTAGTCTTGTACATTTCTAGTCCTTAACCCACTTATAGCATAAAGCAAAAGACAGCTCTACCTCATGTAACCGAGCAGTATCAACTCAAAATGATCACTTACCAGAGCTCCCCTCTCCTCCATCATGCATGCCAGAGATGAAGTGCTGGGACGAGCTCAAACCTCTAGAGTTGAGAAGAGGTCCTGGCTTGCAACGGTACTGGATTACCCTGTCACCTGTCCCATCTCATCCTCCAATTCCACTTCCTTGTCTACCACTTCGGCCTCAGGTTTGAGTCTGCTGGCCACTGTCTCCAGCCTCCACAAAGTATCCACACGGCTCTTGGCAGTGGAGGTGGAGTTACCACCGAGGATCGTGTCCGGCTCCTTATAGAAGCGGCAGGTCTTTGGCAGAGCACCAGAGTGACGGCTTGACTCCCTTGCCTTCTGGTACACCTCCCTCAGCTCCTTTATCTTTGCATGACCCAGAGGCGTGTCCCGTTTGTAGGCCTTATCCAACATGCCATGAGAAATCTGATTGTAGGTATCAAAGTTCCTACGGCTGCAGCGGAGACTGCACAGCCTCCTCTCCCCACAGATCCAACAACTCTGGTGTGCTCCAAGTGGGACACTGTCTGCTGTGTGGAGCTGCCATTGTCAGCTGGGAAGATGCAATGTGTGCTCTCCATGCTAAGCAAACAAGAAGTGGAATTTCAAAAATTCCCAGGTCTTTAAATGGGGAGGGGTGGATGCCTTCGTATCTAGGTGCAGGGCAGCAGAGTTTGAACTGCTAACCAGAGCAGCCAGGATGGGCATTGCCGGACACCTCGTGGAAGTCATTCACAACGACATAATCAAGTGTAGTGTCTACACTGACACTCTGTCAATCTAACTTGCCGCAAAAAGCTCTATGCCTCTTGTTGAGGTGGTTTTATTTTTTCGGCAAAGCAGGAGAGTTTTGTCATCTACTGTTTTGTAGATGAAAGCTGACTTTTGTCAACAAAACTCTGTTAAAGTCACCATTTTGGACTTGATGTGGTTTTTTCAATTAAGTTTCAGCTTGGAATAAAGAGGAATAGATGCTGGATACTCAAACAGTTAACAGTAATAGATATACAAGAGTGACAAGAAATAAGAAAATACAATAGCCAAGAAAACTGTACATAACTTCTATAGTACATTAGAACCATTAGCACTAAATAAAGAGTATGTGTGATCATCTATGACATTGACTACTTATCACAGAAACAAATCCTAAGAGGAAGCGGAGAAAGAAGAGAACTCCCTCTCCCTTATGTTGGCTTGTTACCCAATTCCAACTCTGATAATCCAAGTTAGGTTTATGTAGCAGTCATGGGCTTACCTCCCATATTGACTTGTAATATAGTTCTAGAAATGGCTCCCAGTCATAATCATAAATATCCATTTGGTTAGTATGTTGGAGAATCTTCATATTTGATCACATGAAGGAGTGAAGAGGTCCATGAATCTATGACTGACAGAGTTGCTCTGTCAGTTCATTAGTGCAATTCACTTAGCTGCCAAAACAGCCTGCAGGTGATAACTTCTCCCCACAATTTATTGAGAGTATGAAGCAAATTGGTTTCTCCCAGTCTCAGTACCACTGCAGCTCTTTCATGGATGCTTAAGGTTCATCCTTCCAGCTGACATCGTCCTGACAGAGGTTAATGACCGTGTATTTCCAGATCACTTATTGGCTGCAGCGCCCATAGACATCAAAGGGAGTCCCAGGTGCTCAGCATCTCTGAAACCCAGGTCACTTTGTTCGATGCTTAGTAGAGCTATACAGAAGAAAGAAATTCCATTTCATGGAGGACTGAGAGATTTTGAAATGTTTGTTAGGCACAAACCCCCCAAATGTTAAAATTCTCCTAAAAATAATTATTTTTTTGTTTCAGATCAATTGAAACATTTTGTTTTGAAAAATCAAAATATTTCATGTAGACTATGATTTCTTATATTATAATAAAATATTCACAATTAAAAGATATTTTTAAAATAAAAATGTTTCATTCCAAAAATGTCAAAATGGGATGTTTCAACACTGAGCTTTTTCCCAAGGTTTTTCTCTAAAACAAATTTTCTGAAAAACTGACATGAATTTGCAAAGCATTTTGCTTTGGATAGAACTGTGTTCTCTGATGGACAATGGTTCAACTGAAGTTTTTTTTCTGTCCAGCTCTAATGCCTAGACATAGTTCTTGATGGCTTTGAGCCACCCAAGTTAGAAAATATAGGTTTATAGGGTTTTGGGATATACCATTGTTGTCCACATATTTGTGTTTCCAGGCATGGTTTCATGGCTGGTTTAAGTAACAACAGGGGTGATAGGGCAGTAAATGGAGAACAGGTGTGAGTGAGACACGGGTACTCAGCACCTGTAAAAATATACAGCCAATTATTTAGGTGCCTAATTTTATACACCCCAATTTGAAAACTTTGTCCTCAGAAGTCAGATGAAAATGTTAAGATGCTCGCTGTAATATTTTCTCATTTATCTTGCACAAAGTATATGAGGTGTTTCTTTTTAAATATGCAATTTATTATACTGATGTGTGCTAAACTGTGCAACACATATGTTGTGCAACATGGCTGAACTAACATTGCTGCAAAAAACATATTTTGTCATCTTGATTTGAGTGGTTTCAATTTGTAAGTGTAATGTATGTTTTTTGCATTAAATAATGTATAGTATTTTTCCTATAAAGCCCCTTTCAGAGGGCGCTCTAGATTAATACATGTTACGTTGTTCCTTGCCAGAACCGCACTGAATTTCCCATATGGTCTGAAGCTTGTTTGCCAGAGCTGCAACACGCCAAATCCTGCACACACATGTTCTACTTGAGCTTCATTCAAGAGGAGCTTCTTCTAGCTGCTTTAATTGTTCTGCAGTTACATGTAGGAACTTGCAGCATTTGAAATCTCAGCTCAAGCCAAAGGCTAAAATGTGTAAACCCAGACTACACTAAGACACTGCCAAATAAAAGGCTAAACATAGAGGAAAGCAAATAGATTACGTGATGGAGAATTCTTACTGCTAGCCACGTGATGGGGAACTCAGAGGAGGTAACATCACCCTTGAAACTAGCAGTGCCACTATTGGAGGCATTTTTTCCCTAGCTTGGATAAAGGTTCAGATGGAAATTTGGCCTGGAGTCAGGAGGGCATCCCAACCAGGCTGGGAGTTTGGCATTCAGCCAAGAGGGTATGCTCCAACTCACTGGAGAAATGGGGAGGAATCACATTGCTTTGCAAGCTTCAGATAAAGAAGGGTGGAATTCTAGATTGTCCAATGTAAAGGAAGGGTGATTCCTGGGATGGCCAATTCATCTGTATTAGCACACTAAAACAGCTTCAGTTTAGACTTCTTGAGCAAGATATGATCAGAATGAATTTCACAGACCTAACTTATCATAGAAACACACACTTCAGAGTTGACACAGGAACCTATCATAATTCAGAGGTTAATTTTGGGGGGGGGGGGAGGTTAAATGGATAGGGAGATGAGGTACAGTAGAAAAGCTGTCTGCTTTCCATGTGAGAAGGGTTCTGATAGGACTGTTCCAAGGGAACCTGAATTCACAGGCACTTCTTGGAAGGAGTGGAGCTCTAGCATGTCAGGCCAATGCATACAGAAGTGGTTACAGTCACGAGGAGGATGTACATTTACTGGATTGCATATTTAGTGTTTCTGAATAAATATGGAAGGAGCAAGCTCAAGTTTGTTTCTTTAGTTATTTCAATAATTTTACAGCACATATTTGAGTTTTCATATATATATTATGTTGCTTGTTTTTCCTGTATACATGATGTTCATTTTACTAGGAAGTGTTTCTGGATTCCTTATCCTCTCCATATACTCCTTGTTTCTTACCATGGTAGCAGTGCATATACATCTTTTTGTTCATCCACTCCTCATTATGTTTACTTTGATCTGCCTTTCAAATCACAATTTTATAATACATAAGTTGTGTCAGGGTGCCTCCATTCTCCCTTAAACAGATACAAACCTACGATGGTGGTGGTGGTAGTATATTACATTCACCACTGTAAATCAGTCTTTAGTGTCTGTGAAAGGAACCAAAATTAACAGCCATTGAAACTAAAGTATTCTCTATTATCATTAGGGGCAGGAGGTGTGCAAGCTTTCCTTATCAATCTTCCATTCTCTACCCACTTCCTCTCTAGGAGTGAAAATGCGTCGGTCTCTCTTTATTGAGAATTCTGGGCTTCTGAGACTAGTAATTGTAATACCTTAGTGCTAGGAACTATACTTGGATGAAAATTCATTTCACAGAGGTGAAACAGTTGTAAAAGGGTAGTAACATTTAACAATACCTCTAAAAGGTTATGCAATAAGGAACTTATTGTATGATTACTAAACTAACTGATGCACATGGCTTTGAACATAAAGTGCACCAAGAAATATATGCTGTTTAGCCAGGAGTCTTCTCCTCTGCCTTTTTCAAATCATATGATTTACACATGTGTGTCTTTATTTATTAAAATACAGTCTGCAGGAGATAGCATGGTACAAAGAATGCTCAAATACTGGAGGACACGATATAAAACCTAGATCAAAAGAAAATGAAATGTAGAGGAGCTTTTTGAGAATACATTTTAGCATTATGATGGTCCATGCAATCCCTTGGCTTTGTAGAGCTGATACACCTAAAGGGAGACATAGGGTAATGGACTGATGAACATTTGAAAGTAAGTTAGGTATTTACACAATTGGGTGAGCATTTCTGTGGCTAGACTGATTTTCCAAACAGTGTCTGGGATAATAATAAATGAGGATCTAAAACTTGTAACACAAACCACGTTGCTTGTGGTTGTGAGCAACCACAGCCTTTTGGCCCATAAAATTCAGAGATATGGCATTGCAGATTTGGGGGAGAAGGGGAGCTAGAAATTTTATTTAAAAAAATTAAGTTTCTAGCCCTTTTCCTTTCAAATGTTAACTACTTGCTAGGTCTGTCACTAACTTACAGGGGCCTCGGGCTACCTCCTAGGATCAGTCAACTATGGCCCTGTGTCCCTCAACTTTGGGAGGGCTGCAGATGCTTGTGGACTGCTGGCAGAACAGTGACAGCCATAATCCCTATTCCCCCAGCATGTGACATTCCACAAATGGGCAGTGCTGGCTAGGACCACCCTGACCAACACTACATACCTTTCCCTACAGGAGATGAATCCCTCCGTCCCCTTGGGTGTAACTGTGCCTGCTGACACAGGATGTATGCACAGTGTATAGTCCCATGCTAATGGGAGTGAATTAAGACCAATATTTACAAAGAGCTAACATCTGCCTAAACACAATCACTAGCATAAGTCGCTGGAAGATGGTTATGACACAGAGCTGAAGTCAGTGCATTTGGTTGTATACTCTCTATGTTACATTACATAAGTATATTAGGAGTTAAAGATGCCCTAAACTTTTAATCTTCTTCATTTAATCTCTTTATGCATCAACCACATACAAGCAGTTTCAACATTCTCCTCTATTTTAAGCTGACCTTCTGCAGAAATTCAAAGCTTTAAACTCCTCTGCCGTTTACTGAGTTTAAGACGTTTAAATGTGGGTGACAAAATTAATTAACAATCTGAGATAATAAAATAGGTTAAAAGATTTTTTTTTAAACTACTTAAAGTAAAGCTAAGTAGACTGTGATGTGCCAAGATTTACTACAGTTTTAGAGACAGGCTGAAGTTAAAACTGAACTCCACATTCTGCAACACTGAATGAACATTTTATGACATGTTTTTTTTTGGTGTGACAAGAAACAATCGAAAACGCTTTGCTACTGCTAAAATCACATTGCTTAGAGAAAAATATTCTGTGGGTTACCATTTGTTGCCATGATTTACAAAGATAAGGCCTATACTCTACATCAGCTTCACAGTGAAGTTTTAAAGGAATGGAGCTTTCCGTGGAGTTTGAAGATTTCTGCATAATCGTTTGTGTTGTTGCAAACAGGACCAAATGATGCTCCCTTACTAGCTTCTCAAGAAATTCAGCACATCTCTTCAGATTCATCTCCTGAATGTTACAGCTCTCGCCTCCATTGCTTCTATCTATCCAATAAAAAGCTGATATACTATCTAAAATCACAATGCAGAGAGAAGGGTGAGCACAAAACTTGTTTTCTAGAGAGTAAAGAGTGAGAAGCAACTGGGTGCTGCTATTGCAATTAACCAGGAAAAGCCTTCCAAGGCACTGTTTGATCATTTCTTCTGTACTTTGGGACAGTCTGTGTTCAAGAATGGTAACTAGGCGAAGCATGTCAAAATGGTAGTCTGTATCAATGAACATGACTTCTACTTCTAGGCCTCCTCCCGATTTTGGAAGGACACAGCGGGCTATCAGGTAATAAAGCATTTCTGTTTTTCCTGTTCCTTCTGGACCATGGAATTCAACGACATCTCCTGAGAATAAAAAAAGAAAACAAAATTAAAAAAACCAAGCACATGAGATAGTTTGTAAGCAACATGTGCTCCATTTTCAAGATTTACTGACCTGATTTTACTTCATTCCGAGCTGCTAGCGCGCATTGACAGCTGCAAGTGCTCATTGCTTCAGAAAAAAAAAGTCTAGAAGAATATTTTGAGCCCCCTTGATCTACATCTACTAGTTCAGGGGTTCTCAAACTGGGGTTCGGGACCCCTCAAGGGGTCATGAGGCTATTACAAGGGGGGTTGTGAGCGGTCAGTCTCCATCTGTAACTTTCACTCTATGCATCCGAAGAAGTGAGGTTTTTACTCACGAAAGCTTATGCCCAAATAAATCTGTTAGTCTTTAAGGTGCCACCAGACTCCTTGTTGTTTTTGTAGATACAGACTAACACGGCTACCTCCTGATACTTGATCCCAAACCCCACTTTGCCTCCAGCATTTATAATGGTGTTAAATATATAAAAACGTGTTTTTAATTTATAAGGTGCGTCAAGGCTCCTTCCCCACTCTGAACTTTAGGGTACAGATGTGGGGGCCTGCATGAAAACTTCTAAGTTTAACTACCAGCTTAGATCTGGTCCGCTGCCACCACTCCTAATGGGCTAACTCCCTTCCCTGGGTAGCCTTGAGACTCTTCCACCAACTCCCTGGTGAACACTGATCCAAAACCCCTTGGATCTTAAAACAAGGAGGAATTAATAATTTCCCCCCCCCTTTCCTTTCCCCCCCACCAATTCCTGGTGAGTCCAGAACAATCCCCTTGGATTTTAGAACAAGGAAAAAATCAATCAGGTTCTTAAAAAGAAGACTTTTAATTAAAGAAAAAGGTAAAAATCATCTCTGTAAAATCAGGATGGAAAATAACTTTACAGGGTA